CGGAGTGAGAGAATGAATTGAATATAACAAATGAAATGCATTGGATATGCCTTCTGCAGAAGCAAAGTCACACACCGACACACACGCACGCACAAATGTTCGTTGATATTTGATATGTGATATGTGTGGCATGACTAATTTTGTAAAGACCGAATTAATACCCTAATCCCAATTGTTTTATTTTAACATCACATAAGCAACTTTGGCGCAAGTCAATTTTTGCCCTCTCGCAAACAATGCCTTCTGTTCACCCAAGCGTGAACATAAACCACACACAATTATACCAAATGATTTGGGATAAAACACTATTTCATAAGATAATAATTTACTGTCCATAGATGATTCTTAAAATAAATAGCAATTTTCTAGGTGTAAACTTTTGTTTGACTCACGCTGTACATTATTCAAGTAAAAACAATAAACCCTTTGGTGGGCCCAGATTCACGATTTAACCACGAAAAGAGACCTCAAACATATTAAATGAAAGTTGAAGGCGCCTACGATGGACTGAGATCAGTGACTCTCATCAATGAGTTCAACACAACCAACAATTGGCATAATGTTTCAATTAAGGCTGTTCACACCGCAAGGGGGGCCGTGGGCGGACCGTGGATCGCGCTATCGTAGCACGACCCACGGTCCGCCCATTGGCATTCGCCGGATTCACACCGCAGTGAGATAGCGCGGTCTATCGTAGCACCGTGACGTCATGAGGTCAGGGCGGTCAAAGATTTCGCGCGCTATTACGAACCCGTAGTTGAGAGCTCTACAGGTCCAACATTACTTACTATATTTCTATTTTCACGATGTTCCGACGCGTTTTACTCTATAAAATTAGGAGTGTTGAGTTATACCGATTCAGATTCAGATCGCACCAAAATAGAATGAGTATAAAATTCCCCGCGTGGAGAACAATGACTTCCGACGTGCTATCGTAGCTCGGGTTCACACCGGTAAAGATAGCGCGGTCTAGCGTGGACCACCCCCAAGAGGTGCTCCAGTGGCACGCCGTTTTGGCTCGCCGTGGCTCGCTGTTGGACCGCGCTATCTCTGCGGTTTGGAAGGTACAACGTCGTTTCGGTCCGCCCAACAGCGAGCCACGGCGAGCCAAAACGGCGTGCCACTAGACTGACTGGAGCACCTCTTAAAGAGGCTGTTCACACCGGCAGAGATAGCGCGCGCTAGACCGCGCTATCTCTGCGGTTTGGAAGGTACAACGTCGTTTCGGTCCGCCCAACAGTGAGCCACGGCGAACCAAAACGGCGTGCCACTGGAGCACCTCTTGGGGGTGGTCCACGAGAGATAGCGCGGTCTAGCGCGCGCTAGAAAAAAAGGGGTGCTACGATAGACCGCGCTATCTCATTGCGGTGTGAACAGCCTCCTAGGGGTGGTCCACGAGAGATAGCGCGGTCTATCGCGCGCTAGAAAAAAGGGGGTGCTACGATAGACCGCGCTATCTCATTGCGGTGTGAACAGCCTCATTTGAGGCTGTTCACACCGGCAGAGATAGCGCGGTCTAGCGCGCGCTCTATCGCGCGCTAGGCCGCGCTATCTCTCGTGGACCACCCCCAAGAGGTGCTCCAGTACTGGCACGCCGTTTTGGCTCGCCGTGGCTCGCTGTTGGGCGGACCGAAACGACGTTGTACCTTCCACACCGCAGAGATAGCGCCCGCTAGACCGCGCTATCTCTGCCGGTGTGAACAGCCTCATAGTTTCAGTCAGTAAAATACATGGGCTATTGGGCCGTTATGAATAGCTTCAGGGCTGCGGTGAATGTGGGGGGGGGGGGAGGCTCAGTTAACCCAAACATTATGTAATATTGGTAGACTTGACAACTATATTTACTTAAATACACTTCCAAAAGTCTTTAGAAAGAAAAAAATATCATTCTCAATATAGGGTTATCAAAGCCTCATACCAAAGATTTATCATGATATTTTGGTACCGGAATATAAGGTTTTAATGTGCTCCCTTTACCAGGTTTCAAGCAATCCTCTTGAAAGTCGTGAGTAGCTGATTATTTGGGCCCCTTTGGAGCAACGGGGTCCATGTGGTCTGTTTCATTGTATTGTTCATGATAGGTTTTCTAAACCAAGCAAACATTTTAAGCCAAAATATTTGATCTGAAATGAAAAAACAAACAATGGTTGACCCCTAATAATATTAAAATGTTGCACTTGGGACACAGTGGGCCAAAATTCTAATTTTACATTTGAATCTGTGCAGGCTATGTACCTAACTACCATGTAGGTAATGCAGACACTATGTTCTCCAATAACGATTGTCTGGCATTTACTCTGGACTTTAACCTAAGAGACCTTTTGCGGAGCGAGTTGAATAGTTGGTTAAGAATAATAATTCTCTGCATCGCTATGCCTGAATACTAAATATACACCATTTGCTGATCCAGGGACCAGGGAACACCTACTCTAAGCCCCCCCCCCTCACACACACTACAAAGGCAACGATTACAAAAGGGAAAGTGAAGACTTAATATAGGAGTTGATGACTTTTTATTTATTTATATTTTTTTGCTTGCATGATGTTTGGACTTATAGCCCCCTCCCCCCCCCCTACCCTCCAACCATTCTGGATCCGCCACTGGAATAGACATTATTATTAAAAACATATTAATGGGATATAAACCGCTTTGCAAGTTATTCAACCAAACTGTGGCATACCGAAATATCTTAAATATATGATTTTTTTCTTTAATATCATCCCGTCAAAAAGTAAATGCAAATTATATCCAGATTAATTGCTGTAAGGAATATACACTCATGTATAAAATACACAATAAAAACGAAATTCATAACATACATAATATATTGAAACATAATGTATAGGTCATACCTGATTTAAGACATCTTGAAATCCATCAGCAGTTGAGAATTGTAACACATTTAAATTAGGTGGGCCATATATAGTTAGTGAAAAACTGTCTTTAAAATGCTATCAAAATACTACAGATATGTTAAGAAGTTCCAAAATATTGTCTTTTTTTCCCCTGCAAAATCTCAAATCTCAAATAAAATCTATCTCAAGTCCCTTAAAATTGTGTTCTCCGCGAGTGCTAAACATAAGAATAGGTAGATCAACACATGGATCTACTTTATTACTTATCATCATCATAATCATTATAACTGTATTGTCATTATGTTAGTTGCGACAATTACCATTATTCGAATAATGGAGACAAAAGTCGTTTCTGTTACAAACTTAATTTAGTGTATAATTATGTACAAATTCATAATGTGTGTCAGTGTTCGCGTAAGTACATGTATATGCATGGAAACTTAGAGTGCAGACACTGCACTCCGAAAATGGATTGTGCGTGTGCTTGGGTAGGTGTTCGCGCGAGAAGTCTCGGCGCCTCGAATTATAGTTCCAATTGTTGAGGTACATCGTACAGTTTAAATACGGGTTCGTTGCTTGGGAAAATACAACAATACCTTCCTTCAAGCTAGGAGGAAGTTAAGTTTCGTTTGTAAATATATGCAACTATTTATCAAAAAGCATTTTTTCCTTATATTCCCTACTCTATGTAATGAAAGTTATTTAAAAACCATGTTAACACGTTAACACTTCAATAAAGACCGACATCGGGTGCAGCGGGTGTGAACAGGATCGCCTCGGTAATATCAGATTATCCTACTTGTCCGAGAGCCAACGAGACCAACATTAACAAAGAAATACTTGACGGACGTCAACTAGAGCAACAGCCCAAGGGGCCGAAAATGACACAAGCTTCGAGAGACCAATATTGACAAAAATGTGAGTGTCCACTAGATCCGATCGAGACCGACACAAAAAAAATACATATGGGAAGATAGAAAAACTGCTGGTCTCCTGGGTTAAAGCCTAAAATCGAGAAATGAAGAGAAATTCGTTCAAGTAAATGACAAAAAACGTCTGTGATAACACTGTCATATGTGGTGAATTTCATGCAAATCCAAAAAGTACATAAATTGTGGAGGCAGATTTTAGGATAGATTCTGTGTTTAGAAATTAAAATAGCACTTACAGTTATATTTTCAGATGAGTAAATAATACAGTAATCATTGCGAATGATACATCTATTCTTGCGTTCTTCGAAATAATACAATCAAGTTTGAAGCGGTTTTCAGTTTGCATTTATACATAATTCTGTTGAAGTTTGATGCAATGAGAAACGAAAAAACTTGTTCGATCAAGGGGATGTTAAGCTCAATACAAATTATGTCAGTAAATATCCCTGCAACTAGCTGGTTTCGGCTTATTCTCAATAGTCAACCATGCATATAATCTCTTTTCATGTACTTTTGCATTCCATTCTATCCAAGCCTAGATGAAGGCATGATGACGTACTATCTCGATGATCTTCTTCAAAACAACGCCAATTTCTCACAAAAGGATCCGCCATTTTCTCCATCGGTTAGGTTGGTTGGGAAACTGTGAGCAAACAAAAAATAATTATTTAGTTGCTATCTTTGTGTAATGTACCATCAAACACAAGCTTCATTTTTCGGATAAAAAGCAGAGAGCTACATTTTGAGAAAAATTCCCAGCGTTTTATTGTGGAACAATTTTATGCACTGATATGTGAACTGAATGGACAATCTACAATTTAATTTTAAAGCATCAAGCCTTTGATGTTATACTTGGATTGACCAGAGAACGTTGGTTTATATAGTGGAAATCAGACCAATAAAGTGAGATGTCACACTTTTACGGACAGGGCCAGGATTGCCGGAGACGGATTATATATTTATGACATTGGAATTATGCTCGCAAGTATTACCTTATCAAATTAGAACCATTCCGTAGCTGTAATTTCCACTGTATAATCATATATTAGACTTCAAATAGTTTAAACCTGCAGGGATACAGAGAACGGATAACTTCATTGACGTAGTCTATTTTAAGCAACGATTCACAGAACGCATAGGTCTAGCAAGAAGAAATAATATAATGTACATGTGATATTTGTTTCACGATTGGGTCTACAGACATTTCAAAACATGGCTGAAACAGCAGCAAATAAGCCTGCCGATGGCAATCACGCCCCTCTCAAGGCAGTTTCAAATGTTCATTTTTATCATTTCGTTGACCAAGGAATCGATGTTGAGTGGGGCGATAATGAGCGTACATGTACATCACTCAGTGTTGCATCACACGATGGTCATCTTGAGGAAGTTAAATATCTGGTTGGTCAAGAAACACAGATTGATAAGCTTAAAGATGACATTGTGGCAGCTGTTCATGCTGCATCATGTGAAGGTCATCTTGATATAGTTCAGTACCTTGTTGGTCAAGGAGCCGAGGTTGAGAGGGGCGATAGGGACGGTAATACTCCACTTCATGTTGCATCACACAATGGTCATCTTGAGGTAGTTAAATACCTCGTTAGTCAAGAAGCGCAGATTGAAAAGCTTAATGATTTATTATGGACACCTGTTCATCATGCATCAAGGAAAGGTAATCTTGATATAGTTCAGTATCTCGTTGGTCGAGGAGCCCAGTTTGATAGGGGTGATAGTTATGGTCATACACCACTCTTTACTGCATCATGTAGAGGTCATCTTCAAGTAGTTCAGTACCTTGTTGGTCAAGGAGCACAAGTTGAGAGGGGCAATATAGAGGGTACTACACCACTTAGTCTTGCATCATTCTGGGGTCGTCTTGATGTAGTTGAGTACCTTGTTGGTCAGGGAGCACAGGTTGAGAGGGGCGATAATAATGATGCGACACCACTTCATTTTGCATCGCTCAATGGTCATCTTGAGGTAGTTAAGTATCTCGTCGGTCAAAATGCACAGATTGATAAGCTCAATGTCAATGTTTGCACACCTCTTTACTGGGCATCAAGTAAAGGTCATGTTGACGTAGTGGAGTACCTCATTGGTCAAGGAGCACAGGTTGAGAGGGGCAATAATTCTGGTGACACACCAGTTCTTGTCGCATCGCGCAACGGTCATCTTGGTGTAGTTGAGTACCTCGTTGGTCAAGGAGCACAGGTTGAGAGAGGCAATAATGATGGTGACACACCAGTTCTTGTCGCATCGCGCAACGGTCATCTTGGTGTAGTTGAGTACCTCGTTGGTCAAGGAGCACAGGTTGAGAGAGGCAATAATGATGGTGACACACCAGTTCTTGTCGCATCGCGCAACGGTCATCTTGGTGTAGTTGAGTACCTCGTTGGTCAAGGAGCACAGGTTGAGAGGGGCAATAATGCTGGTGACATACCACTTGTTGTTGCATCACGCAATGGTCATCTTGATGTAGTTCAGTACCTCACGAGTGAACAGGCACAGATGAAAGAAGCACCACCTGAAGGTATGATTCGCATTTTAATAGTGATCATGGGCGCCCATTCCATGTCAAAAAGGCGATGTATTTATAGGGATAAAGCTGTCATAATACTTTAGTTTTAAAGGGCCCATGTACGAGGTTATAATACATATACACTCGTATTCCAGTTCAGGTGCACGTCTGGTAAAATTTATAGTGCATATCGGAGTGACAACGAGCGGTCTAAGCTGGAAACTCTCGAGGCCTAACAGTTAGTATTCTTAGTGCAAAATTGCCCGAAAATATTTTCCTTTTCTCAGCGGCAGTCCTCAGAGTCTTCTCCTCCTTTTCTGCATCTCAACCCTTCCTTGGTGGCTTGATAGTATCGGCAACGGCAGATTCCATCCATATAATTTAAAAGTGTACAGCATGAATGCCAACAAATAATGATAAAAATAAGCCCCTGGACTCTTTGCCCACCCGTTTTATAGTTTGTGTTCTAAAGGAAACTGACACCAGGCTGACAAGAACGCGGTTTGAGTCTAAGTAAAAATCATCTGCTCGCGACTTCTCGATGAAAAGAAGGTTGATTTAGGCATTAAACTATATCAAAAACGTCAAATTACGATAGTAATTGAAAAAGAGATAACAACAAATAATATGCACTTGATAATCCCAGAACGTTTTTGGCCATTTCACCATTCCTTATGATGAATCACGATGAGATTGTAAGATCTTTAGTTGTAGGACAAATACAAGGACATTTCTGCAAAAACGTCAAATGCGTCATCAAGCCACGTGATCGTGTTTACTTTTTTTGTCCAGGAGTGGAGCTTAGCAAGCGTGAGATCTGTGAAAATGGATGGTTGTTATCATTTTTTTGATCAACATAGAGATTTGCTGAAAATATTAGGCTGGAATATTAATAAGAAGAAGTGTATTCATGTTTTTAAAGACTAAGATAGTTTGACACTGCCCAAGTTTTCAGTGAAATGGATGCTCTACCCAGTATTTATTTGAATAGTCTCCATTCCAATTAAATCAAATCATAATTAATTGTTATCAAAGTAACTGGTGAACATTATTATCACAAATTTCGGCAAAGTTGTATTTGACATGTTTTTCAAAGCTCGCCAGTGTTTTGTCATCCATGATCGCACTTCTATTGCAAAAGATGATTTTATTATTTTCCCCAAAATTAAAGCACAATCCATAAGTTCATGCCATGGAACACTGACTGAAGTAATTCCATATTATTGTACGGGGGAGGGAACTATTTGGAACTCCAATAATATAGCTTTGATCGAGTACGTGTGAGCGTGTAACAACTATCTCTCTCAGTACGCTATGGCGAAAATTACACTGCCCCCCCCCCGGTAATTAAATGGGAAGTCTACCCTGATAATAAGTTGGTTTTAATAAAAGTAGATTATTTTTTTTATTTTATTATTATTATTATTATTATTTTGTTTTATTTTGTTTTATTTTTATTTTATTTTATTTTATTTTATTTATTTATTTATTTATTTATTTATTTTTATCTTTTTTTTATTTTTATTTTTTTATTTATTTATTTTTTTTTTTTGGGGGGGGGGGGGACTGTTCAAGAGGTAATTTTCAGGGTGGGGGTAATTTTCCTGGAACCCTTAGTGATATTTGTATATATCTCGTAAAATATATTGTAACTGTTGCTTTTATCTTCATGGTTTGTTTATTCTTATACTTTTTGCTCTTTTAAGCCTTTATTTGCCCCCCCCCCCCCCCAGGGACCAAAAGATGTTCCAATAAAATTCAAGTTCAATTTCATATCGCAGCACAGGAATCCATTCAATCACCGGAGCTAGAAGCCTGGTCCTGCCCGGTCCGACCGTATAGCCTCCTCGCTATATAGCTGTAGCGACCCCATATGCCATTTCATGTTGGAAATAACCTAAAAATGCAAACTCAGTTCATTATGAACCAAAAATAAAAAATCACAAAGCCTTAGGCTAAGATTAATCTTCACCTTTATAAAAGGTGATTTCAAGTTCAGCTTTTTCAGCTACCGATCACAGCTTATATTTTTATCAAGCATTGTATAATCATGATTTTGATCAAGTTCCTTTTTAGTTATTTAAAATAAAAGTAAAGTTCATGTTGCATATTTGTTGAGACATGGACAGAATAACATTCTAATTCAAAGCTAACAACACAAATCAAACATATACTAGTCAGAGTTTACATTCACTTTAGTCAGTTTTCTTGTTTAGACTCGGACTCTTGCAAATGCAGGGTAAGACCATGACGACTAGTATGAGCTTAAGAGTCCGAGTAATATATTAATTCCTGCCGTTCCAAAGTAACCCTATATGATAAAGCTCAAAAACTCTGATTTGAAGAAATTAAATTGTTGTGTTTAATGTGTTATTGAATTTGCAGCGGATTCGGTAATACCAAATGGCCACATTTGTCACTGCCACATAATTATAACCAACACCAATATTAATGTATGGGGAACTGCATCCATTTTTTTAATAACCGTACCCACAATGCAAATATTGACCTAAATTCACAAATTTGAACACTTCTCGACTAAAACATGCCAACAAACCGTAGATAATACTTGTACCGATGATCAGATTGCAAGTGAAGTTTAATTTAAAGACATCCACCCCCCGGATAACCACTCCCAGTCAACTACAACCTAGGTCAACTACCCCCTAGGACAATTACCCTCTAGGACGATTACCCCCTACGACAACCATCCTCTAGAAAAACTACCCCGGAAAACTTTCCTAGAGGGGAGTTGTCCTAGGGGGTAGTTGACTAGGGGTAGTTATCCGGGGGTGGATGTTCGGGGAGGGGAGTATGTGTCTGGATACGATTGGAAGCATAAGCGATCCTACAATATTCAATGACCGTTGTCGCGGTTGAAATCGAGTCTACAGTTATGAAATTGTAAATAATAAACTCTTTATGTTGAATAGCTCCTTCCCAAGGTCAAAATATTAATTAAGCTGTTTCTTGACTAAAATCGACCGATTAGCTATTCCCGTTTGGAAATTATATATCAAAACTACATATTCTAAGATAAACATGACCGCAGTCAACATTGTACGGCCGTAGGCTCTTAAATAAAATGTTATATTCAATTTTGTTCGAAAGCAGAAGTGTTCTAGGGGCTAAATTTTCTAGTGCTTATAAAACACCCTCGGGGGACATCCAAATATATAAAGATTGTAAAGAATCACTATCCCCTCAATTTTCAAAATTTACCAAAACTCTGTATTACCTATAAGCTCATATTTTGATTATAATTTTCGGACATAAAAACCCCTATCAAACAGAGCAAACTATTTTATGGTGAATGTTACACTTATCAATATCCAGGAACGGACGTGGCAAGTAAGACGATTCACCCTTCAAGAGGGGGTACCATCCAACTACCACACCATGGAATCAAACTTTGCATACCCGCTTTGGCACTGCAAAAGGAGTGTAAGATTACTTTAAAGGTAATTCGTAAGATTCTCCCCCACCCTTCCCCTCTCTTCCTCTCCGTTTGTCTCTCTTTCTCTCTCTCTTTCTCTCTCTCTCTCTCTCTCTCTCTCTCTCTCTCTTTAAACCTAGCTGGGCTCTACAAGACGATTGTAGAATTACCCTAAATGCATGGCGTAGCCTTGCTGGACGCTCTAAAAGCATAAATGGAAGGTCACCCCCCCCCCCTTCATTTCTCTCTCTCTCTCTCTCTCTTCACACTCATCTGGGCTCTACAAGATGAGTTTTAGAATTACCCTACAGGTAAACCCACGACTAGAACCGGATATTCCATGCCGAAAGAAAACAATAAACTGGGACTCATTTTGACTTGCAATAATAATGCTTACTTTGTGGCTAACATTTTCTTCAACGCTTTATTAAGAGCGCCTTCAAATTTCAACAACAACAATCATTATGTTCATTTTTGCAATTTACTCTGATGAGGGCAAGACATAATACAGTTTTAATGATATCTGTTTTCGTTCCTATGTTTCGCTGTAGTACCCATCTATTGTGCCGTGGTCGAGTGGTTTAAGGCGCTTGACTGGATATGCGAAGGTCAAGGGTTCGAATCCCGACAAGGCACTAATATCCTTAGGCAAGATATTAACCTGCACTCGCTACTCTCCACCCAGGTGTTAAATTGGTACCCGATAGGATGTTAAAGTTCATATGGTTGAACGAGCAAGTGTGCGCTTATAAAATGGCGACTGGCTGGAATGCTCCCCAGGGAGTGGAAAATGTGCATACATTGTGTGCGGGTAAGCCTGAATCCGGTGAACGGGGTAATAATATATCTGTAAAGCGCTTAGGCACATCGTTGGATCGATGTATTGAGCGCTATATAAACACGAAATATTATTATATTATTATTATTATAGTATTTGTCTTTATTTATGTTTTGCTTGCTTTGGGCACTTAATTATTTAGATTAGCGTACTCAAAAGAGATTAAGATTGAATGGAAATACTTATGATACTTAATCTCAAGTACCCGTTTTATTTGCCATTACTCCCAGGTTCTGCAAAATCCGTCAAGTGTCCTTTTCGCCGAGAATGAAGCTATTGTCTCCCCTGGTGTAGTGTGTGAACCTTCGGGGACCACTTTTGAGATGCCCATAAAGTTGGTCATCCCTCATTGTGCAGTGTTAACAGACCCATCCAAGGCAAAAGTCACCATGCACATCACACATGGCGATACTATAGGTGAGTGTAATACCTATATTTTATCACACACTCTAAGAAAAAAGGGTGCAAAAAAGGGTGCAAAATAAGAGTTTGCACCCTTTACATAAAAATGAACCTTACTGTTTAAAATTTTGAGGCGATCTGTCACGAATTGCGTAAAGCGGGGAGAGCGTATTAAAGCTTATCAAAGCGTCACAAAGCTTATCGAAGTTTTGCTCAAAGCGTAGGAAAGCTTAACAGAGTTTAAATTTTTGGCGCTCTTGCCGAATGTCCCGAATTGCTCAAAGCTTTCTCACGCTCTATTACGGTCTTTCGCTTTAATTAAGCTTTGTTACGCTTTGCCGCCGATTTAATACGCCATCAATTCGGCATATCTCAGGAGATCGTGAGATTTTTTTGAAAAAATGACGCCGAATTGATCGCCGATTTAAAGCGCGACATTCGGCGTCGGTGTGAACTAGGCATAAGTATGGGTAGTGAGTTGAATAACTTTGCTGCTGTATACGAGAAGGTCTGATTTTTAAATCGGTTTTGGGTTTGGCAAGGTACAGTTGGTGCATTGAAACTGATGTCGTGGGATACGGGTTATAGCACTTTGAGGTAGAGCTTGTTTTAGATGAACAGGAGCAAGATTATTCAGGATTGTATACATACGTACTTGATAATTGTATTCCAATCTGTGTTTGACGGATTGCAACCTTAAAGAATTTAACATAGATTGTACAGGCGTCTAATACTGCATCTAATAACTAAACGACAATATTTGTTTTGACATTCATGTAGTCGCTTTAAATCTTTTCTTTTCTATAAGTTTACTTTTCATTTTTATCTGTAATTTGTCTGG